TAGTAGGTAGTAGTAGGTAGTAGTAGGTAGTAGTAGGTAGTAGTAGGGTAGGTAGTAGGTAGTAGGTAGTACGTAGTAGGTAGTAGGTAGTAGTAGGTAGTAGGTAGTAGGTAGTAGGTAGTAGTAGTCACAACAAGTTTAAACAAGCACAAAGAAAAGGCCAGGGACACAGGATCAGATCAATAGGGGGTAGTAGTGCAGATTATTGATGGGGGACCGGCCCTTGTGAGGGGTACCCTTTGTGAGCTTGTCAAATGATTGTTGTTAATTGTTTTTAAAAAGGCAATTTATAGGCCCTGAGCCCTAGACATTTTTAAGGATTTCATCAAACATGTAGTAGGTAGTAGGTGGTGATGGTGGTGGTGGTGGTCGTGGTAGTAGCACGTAGCAGTAGCAGTAGCAGTAGCAGTAGAAGTAGCAGTAGCAGCAGCAGCAGCAGCAGAGCAGCAGCAGCAGCAGCAGCACCAATAGCAGCAGCACCAATAGCAGCAGCAGCAGCAGCAGGAGTAGTAGTAGTAGTAGCAGTAGTAGCAGCAGCAGCAGTAGTAGTAGTAATACGAAAAATTGACCTGGTTGTAGGCTCGGATTAACTGGGGGGGGGTTGTTGGTAGAAAATTAGACAATAGGGGGGGAAATCAACAGCGAATAATACTTTTAATTTCGGCAATTTCCGGCGGCTTTGTGGGCTCGGACTAACTAGGGGAGGTTTATTAATCCTGACTTTTCATTACTCAAGTACTCAAGCTAGTTTGGGGTTTTGAAGTTTGGCTTTCAACATACCGACACTTAAGTAACTATTCTTTTTTCTCGTGTCTTTTGCCTCTGCATGCTCTCTCTCAGCCGTGTTGGCTTGCGAACAACGTGGGGAGGCTCGTTTGCTGAGCTCTACTTCCACATGGTTTCAACAGTGCTTGGGCCGAACTGCGCGTTCTTAGTGATGGCGTTTGCCTTGCAATTGCTGCAAAAAAGACGTCCCCCTTTCCTCCACATTTTGTGGCTACGGTGTCCTTGCCACTCCGGGTTCGCCTGCCACTCACAATCCCAGCAAGTCGACTGCGCCAACTCCTCTAGTTTCTCGCTCGCTGCATGCCGCAAACGCTGCATGCCGCAAAATGCGGCCATTGCATCTGGTGCAAACAATGTAGTTTGTCTGCATGACAAACTGGTGCTCAGTCATCTGAGGGTGCGTTCCCTGCAGGAGACTTTGGATCAGCTCTGTCTTGGTCTGGGTTGTTGCCTGGGCTCCACCTGTGAGTTCCACCGTGGCCTGTCCTGGGCAATCTTCCTCATGGATTTGCTGCAGAGCGGCAACTG